CAAAGCAGCCCCAAACCATGATGCCTCCATCATACTTCACAGTTGGGATGAGGTTTTGATGTTGGTGTGCTGTGCCTTTTTTTCGCCACACATAGTGTTGTGTGTTTCTTCCAAACAACCCAACTTTGGTTTCATCTGTCCACAGAATATTTTGCCAGTACTGCTGTGGAACATCCAGGTGCTCTTGTGCAAACTGTAAACGTGCAGCAATGTTTTGTTTGGACAGCAGTGGTTTCCTCTGTGGTATCCTCCCATGAAATCCATTCTTGTTTAGTGTTTACGTATTGTAGATTCGCTAACAGGGATGTTAGCATTTGCCAGTGACTTTTGTAAGTCTTTAGCTGACTCTCTAGGATTCTTCTTCACCTCATTGAGCAGTCTGTGCTGTGCTCTTGCAGTCATCTTTACAGGATGGCCACTCCTATGGAGAGTAGCAGCAGTGCTGAACTTTCTCCATTTATAGACAATTTGTCTCACCGTGCACTGATGAACAGCAAGGAGATTTTTTTATAACCCTTTCCAGCTTTATGCAAGTCAACAATTCTTAATCGTAGGTCTTCTGGGAGCTCTTTTGTGCGAGGCATCATTCACATCAGGCAATGCTTCTTGTGAAAAGCAAACCCAGAACTGGTGTGTGTTTTTTACAGGGCAGGGCAGCTGTAACCAACACCTCCAATCACATCTCATTGATTGGACTCCAGTTGGCTGACATCTCACTCCAATTAGCTCTTGGAGATGTCATTAGTCTAGGGGTTCACATACTTTTTACACCTGCACTGTGAATGTTTACATGGTGTGTTCAATAAAAACATGGCAACATTTCATTCTTTGTGTGCTATTAGTTTAAGCAGACTGTGATTGTCTATTGTTGTGACTTAGATGATGATCAGATCACATTTTATGACCAATTTGTGCAGAAATCCATATCATTCCAAAGGGTTCACATACTTTTTCTTGCAACTGTATATGACCATATTACCTGAAGGGATTAAAATCACAGTCTTCATTCAACCCATGTGGGAATAATGTGTGGAAATAATGTATCCAATCGATAAATCCACAGTAGTTCCACGTGTTTGAGCGAATCTGCAAGGGAACAACCAAAATGAGGAGTTTTGATACGTTCTATAGCCTGAAAAATTAGTTGTGCCACCGAATGGCCAGAGTCAATGAAATGTTTGGCAAAGGAGATATGCCGTTTCTTAGTGCGAATGGTACTTTTATGTTCACCAATACGTATAGTTAAAGATCTGGACGTTTGGCCGATGTATCCCAGACCACGAGGACATATGATGAAATAAATGACCTGGTCTGTTTTGTAATTAAAAAACTCTTTGATAGCAAATGCTTTCCCTGTTCTGGGATGTGTAAATTCTGAACCCGTGATCACATTATTGCAGTTGGCACAATGGCCACATCGGTGCATACCCTTAATAGGTGCCAACCACGTAGTGGATGGTTTAGAGGATATTCTGGCTCTGGAGGGCGATACCAAGCTTTTAATATTCCTCAATCTCTTATAAGCCATGAGTGGTCTCCCCTTAAAGAGATCAGCAATCTCTGGGTCACTCTGTAGAACATGCCAGTTCTTATTGATTACGTGTTTGACCAAACCAGATTTGGTCGAATATGTAGTGACACATGGAATGCGGTTGGACTTGTTTCTCTTGTTCTTACCCTTGGTCCTCAGTAATGATGTCCTCTCCCGATTTTTTGCTTTAGCCAAAGCTTCCTGTAAAGATGTGTCTTTGTAACCATGGGAACGAAAATCTTCCAGCATCTTCCTAGCCATATACACTAGCTAACAGACACACACATTTACTGACAGACACATACTCAGTGACAGACATACACACACTCACTCACAAAACACAATCTCACTAACAGATGCACACAAACTAACACACACACACTCTAACAAACACACACACATACACTCACTAACACACACACTAACACACTTTTTTTTTTGTTTCATCCCCCAGCCTCCCTAGCTTTGGGAGAGCTGAGGGGATTCCCTGGGGTCCAGTGGTGTCACCCGGCGGCCGGTCCTGCAGGCAGGCGGGCCCGCGAGGGAGCACTCTCCCCTGAGTGCTTCCTGTTCAGCTCCCTCGCGCATCGCGTTCTGATACCGGAGCCGGAAGATGACGTCATATCAGTGCGGTGCACGAGGGAGCTGAAGAGGAAGCACTCAGGGGAGAGTGCTCCCTCGCCAGCCTGCCCGGTGACACCAGGGCCAGCCTCTGGGGGGCCTGAGGTGACCGGCTGCTGAGCAGTCCGGGCCCCCCAGGCCCATGACAACTGTTATGGTTGTCATGCCCTGATGGCGGCCCTGCATCCCAGGGGCCATAGTCACATGGCAGGAGGCTAGCAATCAGTCTTCTCCACTGCCCAGTGGCGAGCTGGTTCTGCCACATTTCTCCCCTTTTCCAAACAGACTAACAGGGTATCTGACCTCCTGCCGGTCAGTGCCCTGGTTAGTCCAGCAACCCACCCACGAAGCACAAACAGTAATACATCCCACCCACAATACATGGTTACTACACCTGGGTAAAAGATTAGCTCGTCCAGGTGCCTCCCCACGGCTGTGTGGGGTACTGATAGGCTGCCTTGGTGGGTTGCTGAGTGGGCAGAGACCAGCGGTACTCTGCCCTGGTGCCAGCGTTACCACGGGAGTAGCCTGGTTGGAGCCATGCTGAAAAGAAGAGTTGGTAGGCTCCTCTCTCGGGATCTGGGGCTGGAGGGGTAGACCGACTGTCTCCCCTTTGGTTACATAGTCCTGCTGCTGGAGGGGAAGATTGACTGTCTCCCCTTTGGACACACAGCCCTGCTGCTGGAGGGGGAGACCGATTGTCTCCCCTTTGGCTAAACAGCCCTGCTGCTGGGGGACAGGACCGACTGTCCCTACCTCCGGTGGTGCATGTGCAGAGACCAAGGTCCCATCTGCACTGTTGTGGAGCTTACTGTCTCCCCTTGGTGGGCTAAGCTGCCGCTGGGGAGAGGGGGTAACAAGTTCTTCTCCCATACATACTTTCAGCCGCTGGGGAGAGGGGGTAGCAAGCTCCTCTCCAATACATACTTTCAGCCACTGGGGAGAGGGTATAACAAGCTCCTCTCCCTGACAGTCTCTCTGCTGTTGAAGAGGGGGACCGACTGTCTCCCCTTTCAATATATTGTCATGCTGCTGGGGAGCGAGACCGACTGTCTCTGCTCCCCGTCGGACACACTGCTGCTGGGGAGGAAGGACGGCACCTTCGGCTCTCTGGGACTCGCTTGACTGCTGGGGAGAGGGACTGACTGTCTCCTCACCCAAGAACTTACACTGCCGCTGGGGAGGAAGGATGGCACCTTTGTCTCCCTGTAATTCACTGGACTGCTGGGAGGGGGACCAACTGTCTCCTCTCCTAAGGACACACACTGCCACTGGGGAGGAAGGACGGTATCTTCAACTCTCTGGACTGCTGGGGAGAGGGACCAACTGTCTCCTCTCCTAAGGACACACACTGCCGCTGGGGAGGAAGGAAGACACCTTCAGCTCCCTGTAATACACACTGCCGCTGGGGAGGAAGGACTGCACCTTCGGCTCCCTGGGACTCACTGGACTGCTGGGGAGAGGGACCAACTGCGGCTGGGGGGGAAGGGCGGCACCTTCGTCTCCCTGTAACTCACTGGACTGATGGGGAGAGGGAACTGGGATACATACTGCCGCTGGGGATCTGGGCCGACTGCCCAGCATCCCCGTAGGGCCGGTAGAGAGACCTCAGTCCCATCTCCACCTGCCAGCTGGGTGTCTTCCCAGGACAAGTCAATAAGGTCTTCCATCTCTGGGGCTGGTTGGGACGTATGTGGTACAGTACCAAGGTCCCCTGATAACAGGCTTGGTTGCTGGGGAGGAGGAACTAAACTCAATGCTTCCGGTGGTATACAGTCAATAAGCCCCATCATGTCAGAGACAGGCGGCGTTATACGTTGGAATAGGCAAACATAATCCTGTTCTAGTTCCCACTCCCGGTTGGCAAGAAAAGAAAGATCTGGCTGAATGGCATCGATCTCCGTAAGGTCCCAGTTGTCTGCCTGCTCAGCTCGGATGGACCAGAAGCGAGCAATGTCGATATGTCTCCGAAACAGAGACTAGTTTCAATAGTATCCCACAACAAAACATGGCCATCGTAGTCTTCCTCCTCAATACACTTGTACTCGATCAGCCATGGGTAGAGGTGGTAAGCATGCCACCGCAGGGCCCGACAGGAATCATCCAGCCACACCTCAGTCTCAACTAGCGTCTCCAGTTCGCTTACCCATTCCTCTGAGGGCTGGTTTCCCAATAACGGCATCTGCAGCTCTAGTTGTTCTGCTTGGCGCTGGTTAGTGGTCAGGATTTCCTCGCACTGGAAGGGTCGAATTTCGTCGATGTCCTCCTTCCAGAGATCGGTACGAAGTGCCACCCTCCACTCTGTCTCTCTTTCCTCTGGGATAGGATAATCCATACTGCGCATCACATCCTGTAGTCGCTGCTGGAGCCTGGCGTCAAAGTGAGATACTGCACAGCCTTCCATCTCTGAAGTAGTGCTGGTTTTCCCAAGGCTAGGAAGCCTTCCTACTTCTGCCACCAATGTAACGGATCACCTGGCCCCCCCGACTGGTTACCTCCGTTGATGGATGCTCCTAGCACTTCTTGAGGATTCCAAGCACTCTAGCCGACACCACAACCACCGCAGGCCAAACCTCTCTTCCTTCAGAGTGAAGCAGGAACAAGCTCTTAAAAGAGTTTCGGAATGATTATAGCAAGGGAATATAAAGAGCATAGCAATCCCTTGTAGCAGATTCCCCCAATAAGTGACAGGACTCCAAATTGAGGGTGAACAGTCTAAAACTTTATTTTACTTGGGACTTGCCCATATGGTCATTACATTAACATTGCTGTAAAAACTCAATAAAATTACAAACAGTCAAATCATAGCAGGCAACATACAGTGACTTATTATAACATAATTACATATTTATAAATGGGTGGGGAAGACCATAATTAATACAAAATGTCTCTCCTGCATGCAGAATTAGCGGTATGCAAATCTACCCAAATATGCAAATTGCCAGTCTTGCTATTCAGGTAGTGCATATTACTGTTGCACCAACAGAGGGCACTACACAAGCTCCATAGCCAAATCCACCTAGTTGGTAGCAATCCTCAGCAGTACAGGAGAGCGGGCAATACATCCCAGGGGCCATAGTCACATGGCAGGAGGCTGGCAATCAGTCTTCTCCACTGCCCAATGGCGAGGCTGGTTCTGCCACACCTTGTACATTGGGTGAGCCCCAGTGGCCTGTAAGTTGATTGACTACGGAGGACCCCTAAAACCCTCCAGGAGATTTTCAGGCTATGTATGTACGTAGTGGGGAATCGTGATGCAGCATAATAACATAAACCAACTCAATTCACACAAATAATGACAGACAACGTAGTGTGGATGAAACAGGCCACAGCATTTATTATAACTTATGATAATTACTGTATAACACATCCATAGTTTATTTTAAAATTCTATTTTCTTTGATATAACTAAAATGTCAAAACTTAAGTAACCATAACTTAACATATAACTTAACACATAGTGTCATACAGTGTAACCCAACCGTCCTTGCCAATAAACTGACCATGCGCCTATGTACCACGTCCTCTCACCTCCCCCCAAGCATAAACTCCTTTTTCTTTCCAATGCTTACCACCAGCCGACCTTTTCCAAGCTCGGTGAGCACAACATAACAGGTAACCTAAGGTTAACCCTTTAGAGCTGGAGAGGTTGAGTCCTGAAACCTTGTTCACTTCATTCCACATAATTAACCTAACCACCTCAAACTTAATTGGCAAGGACATACCCCCAGCCACAACCCCGCTGTTATACGCCTAAAATCAGCGGGGGACCCCACTGTAGCAGAACGCCAGTATTAAATCCCCGAATTCCTCTGGTTCAGGAAGTAATCCACAGTCAAGCGCTGGAAACAACAAGGCAATATCCCAAATCTCCCAGTAACCGGACGAAACACAGTTCTGAGAGTCAACTGAGGTCTTTTATTTCAGCTCCACAATTTATACAAGTCCCCATGCAAGGGGTTTCCTGAGTCCCTTCCCAGGGGCATTCCCAGAGGGGACTACATGGGGGACTTATTGTACAAGCTATTTCTCCCATCAGGCACTGCTGCACGAGAGGGATCCTCCCACTGGAATATACCGTTAAGTGGATTATCCCTCCGTGCAGCAGAACCGACAATTCACATGAAAATGCATAACTTTTCGATTATGTAGTCTATTTGCACGAATGGACGTTCGGTAGATAGCTGGGGTCTGAGCGCATCATTCGTGAGATTACTGCTCAGATCCCAGCTAAAACAACCGAACGCCGCATGAAAAACACATTCATTGAAAAACATATTAAAAAGACCGATTGCCTTCCAGGGAATGAAATACCGAACGGCCCGTAACTCCCGAACGTCCTGGAGGCTCAGCGGTGTTCGTGCTGTCGAGTAGCCGTTTTTAGTACCATGCGCTCGACGACCTAACACCGCTGAGGGAACAAAGGATCCAAGATGGCCGACCGCCGCATGGTCGGTAGTCGGCCACATTGTTGCAATCGGTTAACAAGCGCCACACGCCTCTAAGTGTGTGGGCTATTATGTGTAGTGTTTTCGGATCACGAACGGCCTGACAAAGTGCCGTTCGTGAAACGAACGGAAAACCTCATACAAATAGCTATCTGCATTCGGCGGATAGCAAATACAGGAAATACACAGTTATTACAGCCTGCATACATTGTACATAGATGAACACATATCCCCACCGACATATAGGCAACCCTTAAAGGTATAGTCTCTTGATATAGTCCAAGTGGCTAGGTTTGCCACAATGCTCCCCCAGAACCAAGCCGGCATACACAGTCTGATCCCAACGGATCGGCCTGGGGATGTCCGGAGGAGTACTCACAGATCACTTCTCAAGGTCTGTTTGTCTAGATAACCCGTCGGCGTTACCGTTTTGTTTCCCTGGGCGATAATGGATAGTAAAGTCAAAAGGCTGCAGCGCTAAACTCCAGTGCAGCATTGTCTCCAGCCACACGGTTCAGCCACACCAACGGGTTGTGATCTGTGAGTAAGGAAAAGGGTTGCCCATAGAGATATGGTTGTAACGTTTTCAGGGCCCACACCACGGCCAGGCATTCTTTTTCGATGGCGGCGTAGCTCACCTCTCGTGGTAACAATTTCCGGCTCAAATATGCTACGGGATGTTCTCCGCCATCTGCTCCGACCTGGCTCAGTACTGCTCCCAATCCAAACATTGAGGCGTCTGTGTGGACAAGAAAACGTTTAGATAGATCAGGAGCAGCAAGTACCGGGGCATTGGTCAGAGCCGTCTTCAGTTGGTTGAATGCCTGTTCACACTCTGGGGCCCAGATGACCTGCCTGGGCAGGTTTTTCTTCGTCAAGTCTGTCAGGGGCTTGGCCAGGGCACTGTAATTGGGCACAAACTTCCTATAATACCCGGCGGTACCTAAGAAGGCAAGGACTTGGGTTTTAGTCCTAGGGGTAGGCCACTGGGCTACGGCTTCAATCTTTGCGGGCTCAGGCTTCGGTTGCTCGCTCCCTACCTGGTGTCCCTATGTGGCACTTGCTGGGTTTCAAGGTAAGCCCTGCCTCTCCAATCCGATCTATCACGGCCCCTATATGTTGTAGATGATCAGCCCAGGTCTGGCTGTAGATGGCAATATCATCCAGGTATGCACACGCATAATCCTGGAACCCGTCCAGTAGCCGATCCACCATCCGCTGGAATGTTGCGGGGCCTTCTTCATCCCGAATGGCATGACTCGAAATTGGTACAAGCCAAACGGGGTGACAAACGCCGACTTGGGGATGGCGTCCTCGGCTAGTGGAATTTGCCAGTATCCCTTACAAAGATCTATTGTCGTGAGATACTGACCTCTGGCCATCCTATCTAGCAGTTCGTCTATCCGGGGCATCGGGTAAGCGTCCGACAGGACTACCGGCGATGCCCAGGGGCTATCGGAGTGTTCGATAACCCCCAACTGCAACATCTCTTCAATCTCCTTCCTCATATGTTCCCGCACGGATTCGGGAATCCGATATGGGGTTTGTCGCATGGGGAGCTGTCCCGGGTTTCTACTCGGTGAGTGGCTAGTGGAGTGTACCCAGGTAAGTTAGAAAAGGTGGCGCCCTTCGCCACTATCAGTTCTTGTACCTGGGTGCACTCTTGAGGACTTAGCCGCTCCCCCAGCTGAACCCCCTGCTCCTCCTGCTCTAACAGATCTGGGAGAGGTAAGTTCTCCTGATCCTCCGAGGCGGGCGTGCAAATGGCTGCCACGTCCTCAATTCGCTCGTGGTAGGGTTTGAGCATGTTCACGTGGTACATGCGTCGCTTCCCTACTCCGGAGCATGGGCCGATCACATAGGTGGTATTGCATCTCTGCTCTACCACCTGGTATGGGCCCTGCCAGACGGTCTGTAGTTTGTCTGTGCGGACCGGTTTGAGGATTAACACCTTCTGCCCGACTTGAAAACTACGGTCTCTGGCCCCTCTGTCATACCGACGGCGCTGTCGTTGCTGGGCGGCCTGGAGGTTAGTGCGCACTGCCCGAGTTAATTCCTCCAGGCGATCCCGGAACGCCAGCACGTATGGTACAATAGGGGTCCCATCTGCGCTACTCTCCCCCTCCCAATGCTCTCTAATGAGGTCCAACGGTCCCCGTACCCTTCTCCCAAATAACAGCTCGAACGGGGAGAAGCCGGTAGATTCTTGGGGTACCTCCCTGTAGGCAAACAACAGATGGGGAAGGAATCGTTCCCAGTACTTATGGGTCTCTCCGAATGTACGGAGCATCTGTTTTAGGGTACCGTTGAACCTCTCATACAATCCGTTGGATTGGGGGTGGTAGGCAGAGTTAATGATTGGCTTAATGCCACAGATTTTCCATAACTGCTGGGTAACCTCGGCCGTAAATTGCGTCCCCCTATCGGAGACAATTTCCTGCGGGAACCCTACTCTGGAAAAGATTTTCATCAGGGCTTTGGCCACTGTCTCCGCATGAATATTGGTTAGGGCAATCGCCTCGGGGTACCGGGTGGCGTAGTCCACCACGGTCAGTATATACCGCTTCCCAGAGGGGCTGGGTTTTGGTAGCGGTCCCACTATATCCACAGCCACACGGCTGAACGGTTCTTCAATTATAGGTAGGGGACACAGTTTCGCCTTGTGGCGATCCCCTCTCTTGCCTACCCGCTGACACACATCACAGGATGTACAATAGTGTCTTACATCTTTAGAAATCCCGGGCCAGAAGAAAGCGTGAGTTAAGCGATACCGGGTACGGGTCATCCCTAAATGGCCGGACAGAGGGATGTCATGCGCTATTCTCAGTAACTCAGGTCTATACTTCTGGGGTACTACCAGCTGTTTAGTTTGGATGGTCACAGAGCTTCCTATCGCCCTTTCAGCCACCCGGTACAACAACCTGTTTTCCCAAATGTACCGTTCCCCCTCCCGCTCCACCTGGTCCGTGGCTACCCTATCTGGGTACGCCTGCAGTGTGGGGTCTGTCTGGACCTCGGCTTCAAAAGTGGTCGGGGTGTCCCAGGTCATATGCGTCGGGGGGGGTCATGGTTTCTTACCTGAGCCTCAGAGTGTGCTGGTGGTACCGTGGTGCGAGCCTGTTGCCGGGTAGTTACAGGATGAGCTTCTTGCGAAGGAGCCTGAGGTAGGAAAGCTGAAGTCATCTGGCCCAAGTCATTCCCCAACACAACATCCGCCGGTAATTTTTTCATTACCGCTACTTCCACAACCCCCTCCCCAGCACCCCAGTTCAAATGCACCTTGGCAGTGGCTAGACGGTACATGGCTCCCCCTGCTACCCTGACAGCCACTGATCCGCCAGTGTGGGCCGTATCTGGAACCAAATGTGGAGCAACCAGGGTTAAAGTGGCTCCCGAGTCCCTCAGCCCCTGTACTTCTTTCCCCCTCACAAACACAACTTGACGGTGATGCTGCCTGTTGTCCGTGGCTTGCACCGACATCACTTCATACAAAACTCCCAACGGTTCCACGGTCTGCAGGCTTACCAGCTCGGAGTTGTCAGGTTCTGCGTGGTAGTAATGAGCTGCTGCCCTTGGTGTGGAGTTTTGTCGCACTTGGTTCCACGCCTGTCTACTCCGATTCTGGGTGCACTCCCGGGACATATGCCCCCACTGACGGCAGGTATGGCATTGTATGTTTGCTCTGCCATTGTAGCGGGATGGTGGTGGGGGATTCCTTGGTGCTGGCCGGAATGGAGCAGAGTTGGTTGGTGTGGAAGTGGTCGGGTGGTGCTGTACTGGTGGTCTCAGGAGACCCCTGTTGGTGAGCCCATGATGCCTCCTGGCATCAAAGTGTTGATCTGCCAACCGGGCGGCTTCCGTTAGGGTGAGGGGTTTCTGTCCCTTACCCATTCTTGTGCCTCTGGTAACAGTCCATTAAAGAACTGCTCCAGCAGGATTAGTTGGCGCAGTTCCTCCATGGTGGTGGCTTGGCTGTCCTGAATCCACCCTTGTGAAGCTTGGTCGAGCTTATGTGCCCACTCAGCGTGGGAATCTTTTTCTGGCTTCCGCAATCCCCGAAATTTACGCCGATATGCCTCCGGTGTTATGGCATACCTTTCTAGAATTGCCCGTTTGACTTTAAAGTAGTCCTTGCTGTCCTCTCTGGGAACAGCGCGATAAGCCTCTGCTGCCTGTCCTGCCAACTTGCCTGCTAGTAGGGGTACCCACATTGCCTGCTCCAGATCGTGTAGGTTGCATAACCGCTCAAAATCCTGCAGGTATCCGTCAATCTCATCCTTCTCCTCGCAGAATGCTTTAAATGCCTGGTAGGGTATTTTCTGCTTCACTGGAGCGCAGAATGAGTTGGCGATGGATTCTGCCCTGGATGGTGCCCCCTGGTGCTGTTGTGCCATAATGTAGTCCTGTACGTCTGCCATCAGCACGGTCAAGATATCCAGGGGGGGTTGAGGTACAAATTCCAGCCGAGTTCTCAGTTCCCTCTGATATGGGGTTTCCTCCCTGGCAGGTGGGGGTGGGCTGCTGTGTGCTTGGTCGCCCTCCATCAGCTCTGCAATTAGTACTGCTTTGGATTTATTGCTAGCGCTTTTCCCTCTAGCCTCCAGCAGTTCCTTTAGCGTCTGCCTCTTTAACGCCGTGTAATCAGTCCCCATTCACTGATCTCTTTCGTCTGTTTGTTGCATACGAATTGCCATTCCCTTTTTCCGTTCGGTTGTTCCTTTCATTCGAATGCGCTGTATTCGGCTGTGGAGTTGGATCCCGTCGCTACCACCAATTGTAGCGGAACGCCAATGTTAAATCCCCGAATTCCGCTGGTTCAGGAAGTAATCCACAGTCAAGCGCTGGAAACAACAAGGCAATATCCCAAATCTCCCAGTATCCGGACGAAACACAGTTCTGAGAGTCAACTGAAGTCCTTTATTTCAGCTCCACAATTTATACAAGTCCCCATGCAAGGGGTTTCCTGAGTCCCTTCCCAGGGGCATTCCCAGAGGGGACTACATGGGGGACTTATTGTACAAGCTATTTCTCCCATCAGGCACTGCTGCACGAGAGGGATCCTCCCAATGGAATATACCGTTAAGTGGATTATCCCTCCGTGCAGGACAACCGACAATTCACATGAAAATGCATAACTTTTCGAATATGTAGTCTATTTGCACGAATGGACGTTCGGTAGATAGCTGGGGTCTGAGCGCATCATTCGTGAGATTACCGCTCAGATCTCAGCTAAAACAACCGAACGCCGCATGAAAAACACATTCATTGAAAAACATATTAAAAAGACCGATGGCCTTCCAGGGAATGAAATACCGAACGGCCCGTAACTCCCGAACGTCCTGGAGGCTCAGCGGTGTTCGTGCCGTCGACTAGCCGTTTTTAGTACCATGCGCTCGACGACCTAACACCGCTGAGGGAACAAAGGATCCAAGATGGCCGACCGCCGCATGGTCGGTAGTCGAACGGCGGCCACCCAGGAGAGCCTCTAATTACCGATTGCAACATTGTTGCAATCGGTTAACAAGCGCCACATGCCTCTAAGTGTGTGGGCTATTATGTGTAGTGTTTTCGGATCACGAACGGCCTGACAAAGTGCCATTCGTGAAACGAACGGAAAACCTCATACAAATAGCTATCTGCATTCGGCGCATAGCAAATACAGGAAATACACAGTTATTACAGCCTGCATACATTGTACATAGATGAACACATATCCCCACCGACATATAGGCAACCCTTAAAGGTATAGTCTCTTGATATAGTCCAAGTGGCTAGGTTTGCCACACCCACCAAGACCATCCATGGCCTGTTCCACTGCTTCCTACAAAACAAGATTAAAAAGGTTGAGCCCGACCTCCGTCAAGTGCACCCCATCCCCTCAAAATATATTGGCCGCATCCCGCTCAAAAACCCTTCAGCGAACTGGAATCCCCCAAAACAAACCTAGAAATCCTCCTATTCAATTTTTGGTGATTACGAGCAATAACCTCGGACCAAACCAGGCATACAACAGGAAATAGATGTAGATGCTAATAGATGCCAAGTCCTGTTTAACGGCCGACACCAAATCCCATATGGGCACCGAACCCAGGTCATTACCCCCTAGATGGATCACCAGGACATTCAGGAACCCCCAGGAGGCGGGACAACTGAACCAAGTCAGGGTGGAGCCGCATCCACCTCATGCCTTGTGTACCAAACCACGAACCTCCACTTCAGAAGGTGTAAAACCCAACCGCTCGCCTCCAGTCCGGACCGGTGCACGCTGCCTTGATCCAAATCCTGGGGGGGAACTGGATCTGCGGAGAGAAATCAACTCAGGAGACAAGCCGGGCAAACAAAAGAAACTCCCACCTCCCGATTCTTTGGAAAACCTGTGCCGGCATGCCAAGTCTAGAGGCCTCAGTAGCCATCAACACCCAGAAATTCAAGCCTCAAGCGGAACACCCTAATGAACTGGAATTGAGAGAGAAAGCTACCGTCCTCATGTACCAAAAGGGGGGGAGCTGGAGAAGCTGGGCGTAGTGAACTGAAGGAAAAAACAGGACAAATGCCGGAACCTGGCACAGCCCCCAGTCAGACCCACTTACCCCTCGCAAAGACATCAGTCTTCGAGTGGCGAATCCTGAACGAAATCTGATCAGCTGTGCAAGTAACATCACCAAACAACACCCACCCCACCCATGGGCAGAATCCGACAGGCAAAATTCAGCTTCCCCTGAAGAGATTGCAGGCAGCGCAGCTGGACCTTTTGATGCCCTAACGCCAGCAACACCACCTGTCGGAGGTCATGAACCAGGAAACTAAGGCACATGACCGGACAGGGTCATGGGCCAACGGAACACCAAACCACTGAAACACTTCCCCTAGGACCTGTAGCAGCAGAGCGCAGACGTGCGACTCAGCCGGCCCCACACACAAGAAGTCATCCAGGTAGTGCAGGAGGGAGTTGACCCCCGCTTCCTTCCGCACCACCCACTCCAGGAAAGTGCTAAAGCATTCAAAATAAAAAGAGGATAGAGAGCAACCCATATGGAGACACATATCCACAAAAAACTGACCGTCAAAGGTACAGCCCAGGAAATTATGACAATTCGGGTGCGCCGGAAAGCCAATTCCACATCCAGCAACACCCCAGGTCCCACAGAACGCACCATGTGAACCGCCACATCCAAGGATGCATAGGAAACTCTGCAGAGTTCAGCTGAAATGTCATCTGTAATGAAGTGCCCTTCACCACTTGGTCCTGGAGAGGCCTACTTGCCAGCCTCCTGACTTGCAGCTATGGACCGGGGGTGTGTGGCCCTTTAAAAATACTATTGGCCTTATGGACTTTTATTTGGACTAGTGCTGGCCCTTTAAAAACAGTGTATGGACATATTGAAACTTTTGGGACACTTTTCCTGCCCCTTTGAATCCATGGGAAGGTGTGCCTCTTTCCCTCCCCCTGTCCCATTGTTCTCCAGCAGGTCGTTGTCCCAGGGACACTGCCAGACCAGTTTAAACTGGATGCTTTGTCCCTCCTCAATCTCTCATCAGCCCTTGCAAAACTTTAACCCCATGGCAAATTTACTCTGTTCGTGGGATCTGAGCGCTGTTCACCTATATTGGACGCTCAGATCGGAGCTATCTTGGGATAAATGTGGGGGTTCTGTGTAATATAATAGGAATTATGTATTTTTATGTATTTTACTGTTAGTGTAAAATGGAGATATTTTCTGTACCTAGAGATAAATGAGTTTACTGCAGTTCCTTAAGCCAGTTATCACCAGGACAGAGGCGAGGGATTTTACTGTGTATGTGGGAGTGTTATTTTGTTAATTAGTGTTCCCATTGGTTTGTGTCCCTTTTGTCACAGTTTACCACCAGGTCCAGGGGTGTGCCTCTTGCCTGAAAACTTGTATAAAAGAAAGTCCTTTTGTGTGGATTAAACAGATCTTCTTGACCTTCAATACGTAGCCTTGTCTCGTTATTGGAGGGAACTGCTATAATCACACTGAGGATTGCTATGCTCTGCATACGCCCTTGAGCTTTAATCACTTAGCTCTTCTAAGAGCTGTTCCTGTTGTCTTCCCCACACAGTCCTGGATGTCGGAGGTTCATACAGGGTGGAAGGAAGAGGTCTTTTCCACACGGTCCTGGAAGACAGAAGCTGATCCAGGGTGAAAGGAAGATGGCGAGAGTACCAGTTAAGCTACGGCGGTTGTGGAGTCTGCGGTGGTTGTGGTGTCCGGTATGGTGCTTGTGGCCCTCTGTGCAAGCTAGGAAGCATCAATGGAAGGTACTCAGTCGGAGTACGGGGAGTTCCGTTACATCATCATTCGCCGAACCCCCAGGATGGTACGACAAATAGTAAATCAGGCTATATTTACCATGTTCCCTCTTAGGCACCATGCCTGAAGGGGAAACCCGCAGATTAGACATAGGGGGAATAGAAAAGAAGACTTCCTTATCCAGCTTCTCCCGAACCACATGAGGGAATTCCCACACGGACCAAAGGTTCCGAACCGAGAGCGAGGGAGGGTGCTCCTAGAAGGGGATCCAAAACCCCTGCTCAAACCCCTCCAATAAGATCCTTGCTGCCTTACGATTCCTATAAAGGTTGAGCCACGGGCGCTTCGTGTTTACGACTACCAGAGTCGTCGCCCTTAGCCCCCATGTCTCCTTTTTCCCCAGTTTTGCCCCGGTTGAAACAGCGGGAGATAGGATGGGCACCACCCTAAACTGGCACGAGGACCCCCACTTACAGTGACTGTCGTTGAACTTCAAAGAATAGCCCGTCCTCTGGTTGGGGGCCGATAAGGAGGAGGATGTACCCCACCACTCCCCCCCACCCCAAGAAAGTAAGAAAAAGCGCCCTGCTAAGGTGCTGGACGGGTCATAATCGAGAGCAAGGGGCCTATATCCATCTGGTCCCAGGACAGCGAGGGTTGCACTGCCAGCCGCTGATGAATCTGTTCGTCGAACCTCCACCGACCTAGTCCCCCATAGGTGCGAAATGCGTTCCAGATAGTGTCCTGATAGCAGAACAACGCAGAGCACTTCTGGGGAGACTTCTCCCCCACAAGGCTGGCCAAAAGAGAAAATGCCCAAAATCCAATTCCCAAACGTCTTGGGAATTTTTCCTGCCTCTAACTAAGCGTCATCCGCGCTGGCGACAGCGCAGGACACCGCGGACAAAGCGGGACCCAAGGGCACCAAAGGCAATGGACCACTACCCACCAAGAACAAGGACCCAAGGGGCCCCGAGGTCCACACAGCAGGAGGGTGCTGGGCTGGGGACCAAACCGACCGAAGCTGACTATCCATAGAGGTGTCCCCGCTAACAGCCACCCCTTGCTCCCACTGATCTAAAAACCCATGACGACCTGAGAGGAACCCCCTA